TTCAACTTTATAATAGAGAATTATTTTTATCTTTTCAGATATATCAGCATGTTAACAAAATACAAACCAAAAATAAAATGGGATAAGAAGCATGGAGAACATTATTTTAATTATAAGTAAGTACTTAAAATAATAGCAACAAATATATTTTTTAAAACTATTATTTCTGTGAAAATACAAACTTGTATTAGTAATTTTGATTTTATTATTATTTTATTTTTTGAGAAATTTTAATTTTGTTAAATCTCAATAATAAAAGCCAGTTATTGAGTAAAACCATAATTAAGTCTCAACTTTATCATGTTCACACATAACTCTCTGTAAATAAATATGGGAATTTTAGGAATATTGTTAAAAGTTTAAATTTTGTATATATAATTATTCAATAAAGTTTATATTAGTTAATAAATATTTTTAGGTCCACTCAATTTTTGAAAGAATTTAATAGATCAGAATTTTGAGAATAATTTAAGTCAAATTTATTGCAAAACTATTTATTATTATTCCACCTCAAAATCATCATAAGTGAATAAAAATAATAATTATGATTAATACTTTTTTACACAGTCAATCTTATATCAATTCTCTGCATAGCTTTACATAAATGATGGTGTCATTATATTGTATTAAGAATAAGCCGACCATAATTTCTTGATGTCAAAACGGGATGGGGAGTGACGACTGATAAATAAAGGTCCTCTCTTATTAAAATTCCATCAAGAAATATAGATGAGTGTTATTAGCAATTTATTACTACATTATTGTATTGATATTTATGGTGTAAAAAGAAAAATAGTTAGTTTTTCAAAAATAAAATGCTTATAAAGTTAATCACAAAATAATTATTTTTTATTAAAAAAATACTTAACGATAAAGATTTGTAATATTGGCTATTAAAAAGTAAAAAAGTGTTAACAAGTCAGTTCATGAAAGATTGAACAAAATTCGTGTGTTGAAAGTATCTGCAAATCTGATCATTTAAAGTGGCAAATTGACAGATGATTAACTTTTAAAAGTAATTTATGATAACAACAAAAAAAATTGAAATTATTCTGAACATTAAATTGTAAAATCATTTAATTATTAAGCTTATATGACATTATAATAATCTTGAAGAAGATAATGTTACATGCATAACTAAAATCTCTATTGATTATTGTTTACTATTTTTGTTTATATACTCTAGGAATCAAACCTTAAATGTTACGTTTTTTTATGAATCCAGAATATAGATCATGTAGAGAATATACACAAGAGATCACCATATTTTATAAAGGGTTTTGAAAGAAGAAAAAATTGATTAATAGCAGGTTGGGATTTATTACATTTATGACATAAGATCAACAAGCCAGATGGACTATTTTTATTTAATTTCTCATGCTTACATCTATATTCTCTTTTAAATACAGTAAATGTTTTTATACCTCCTTATAGGTATAACAACACTTCTGAGAATAATCCAACATGTTTATAAACATAAATTTACCAAGAGTAATCAGATAATATCAGCATTAGCATGGGTTGAGGAACTCATCTAAAAAGTCAATAAAATTTTAATCAGAGTAATATCATTTGTCAATGTAAAGAGTAACTTTTGGAGAATTTTGAACTTTTTTGATTAAACACTTAAACATCTTGAATCTACTTAATATTTTCAATTATATCATCAAATAAAATTGTATTTGTAAAATTTTTTTAATATTTACAAAATTTTAGAACTTAAAACCAATAGTTATATGTTGCAATTAAGAAATCTTAACTTGTGTGTCTACTAATTGACTGATGATATAACAAAACCAAAATTATTAATTTAATATTTAAAATAATAATAGTTGTTTACAATATATTGTAAATAAAAAAAAATAATTCTATTTTTGATCTTTTGGAAGCTACAAAACTTTTAAAATATCCATATTTCTCTTGTCATTGTCAGGTTTAGGCTATTTGTGGAAAATAGTCTCCCAATCCTTGACATTTTGAATCTGTTCTAAATTAATTTTTTGACATAAACTGAATAATTGAAAATTAGAACTTTTTTAAGAAAATTTAATTGGAACATTTTTTCACAGTATTTGTAATTTTATAAAAGATGTTTCCATTTGTTTATGGAAAATGTTACATGCTATCTAATAAATTGTTTAATTTTATATAGAATTAAACTGCTAAACTGTTTTTGCTTATAAAAATGTGATGTCAATTCAATTTGAATCTAAATTGTGTACATGTAGTACAATTTAAACCCATCATAACATATTTCTGAATTGCCACATTCTTACAATCCTGCCTTAATATTAACAAAATGATAATTTGCTTGTAGCATGTATAAAAATATTCTTGTTACTACTGCTAAAGAAAATCTAGTTTGGTTTTGTTAAATAAATTATTAATTTATGCAACAAAACCAAACTAGATTTTCTTCATCCATTTGTTTTGTGCTTGAAGTAAATGATCACGTTTAATGAATTCTTACGGAAATTATTCATCTTCACATGTTTCATCTAGTTAAAATAACACAGTATAATCAAATAATGAATTATTAGTGTAAATAAAAAAATATAAATTTGAAGAATTCCTATTCAGAATATGAATGATAATATATTTTAATTAGTAAATGCATTTTGATATTAACAAGAATGAAATCTCTAAATCTTCATGCTTATAATAGTATCAGATTTTAATAAATATATTCANTTTTCTTCATCCATTTGTTTTGTGCTTGAAGTAAATGATCACGTTTAATGAATTCTTACGGAAATTATTCATCTTCACATGTTTCATCTAGTTAAAATAACACAGTATAATCAAATAATGAATTATTAGTGTAAATAAAAAAATATAAATTTGAAGAATTCCTATTCAGAATATGAATGATAATATATTTTAATTATTAAAATGTTCATTGACACTTTTGAATTTCCAAATTAACAAAATCTTTTTGAAATTAAAATCATTTGTTTTTATAAAATGTTCTTGGCTTTAGGTCAAGAGGTCTGACATTTCCTCTTTTAACAGTTTTTGGAATCTTAGAATATTTAAATCTTTAATGCTTAGGGTTTGGACATTAAGAAGTACAGATATGACATTCCTTTGAGAATTAAATTGATCTTTGCATTCTTCATTTTATGTACAGATTTTAGATTCCAAAGAAAAATGCTAATTGGAAAGAAAAGTTTGACTTCTTGATAAGACTAATATATTCTTTTTTTTATGTTGAAATCAGAAGTTGCATAACAGTAACTTTAAAGTTGTAATGATTACATTTTTACTTTTATAATAAAAATAATTAAATACAGAAAATCTTTTTACTTTATTTTAGAACTGACTTTGGAAGTGGAACAGTTTATTATCCGTCACTGCAATCTATCAAACTGCGTCTACAACTAGCGGAGGAATTTGGAATAGGTGTTGCCATTTGGGAAATTGGACAGGGATTGGATTATTTTTATAATCTCTTTTAAAGAAATCATAAAATATGGATTTATTTTGGTAATTTCAAACACCTGAAATTTATATTTCCAGAAGAAGAAACTAGTGTTAAAAATTATATATTTGCAATTATTTAATAGCATTATAAAAGAAAAATCATTGTTTTTATAATATGTAAATTTTAAAACTTTTTTTTAGCTTGCTGGTATAAAGGCTTGTCAAGGATTACAGCAATAATAATCTAATATATAAGAGATTTTTTGTTTGATTTGCATTTTGTATTGTTATTTTATAAAATACTTAATTACATTATAGAAGTAAACAAAATGTTAATTTAAATTGCATTAGTTTTTTGATACGAGTACAACTATTCAATTAGTAGTTTATTTTACAGGAAATACAAAACCTTGAACTATTGAAATTTCTGTCTTAGTAATTAACTGATATACAATCTCAGAAGTATTTATTTATGCCTTTATGGTTATTTATGCCTTTAAGATGTACTGAATCCTGCAGTACTTCCATGATTAATATTAATATGCTTTATTTCTTTTTGAACTGAATCTATTTTTTAATACAGATACAGAACTCTTCTCTTACTGTCGGACAAGCCTGATCGAGTAGGCCCACTATGTTATAAAAAGTTTGATTACAAAAGTATCATTTACGCTGTTATCACATTACAAGTTTATTTTATTCTATGAATCTGTCACTGTACATGATGCATTTTATGCATTGATACATACAGCAAAGTGATTAGGTATCAGATGACAGCATGTTTAGACTCCTACAGAGTTAGCTGCTGTATTCACAACATTACTACAACATCATTTGGGATACAAATATTTAAAAGTGATTATCCAGTATAAAGGCTTTGACAAATCTTTGACTTACAGAGAAGATATTGCTGATTTTCCAAAACTTTCTTTTATTATTCTAACTAGTAATGTGCGACCAATTTTTAAATTATTTTCAATACACAAGGAAAAAGTACCAAGTTTATTTTTTGCAAATTAGCATCCAATAAAAACATGTAACATTTAACAATGGGTTTAGTTTACGTTTTTCTTTTCGTTATTAGAAAGACAATCAAGAAAAAAATCATTTTCACAAATAGCAATATTAAAGAAAATTAACATTGAATTTATTAAAAGTAATATTTCTTTGGTAGGATTCATCATTTTTAACAATAAATTTTTAAAAAGAATTTAAAATGCCCTGATACAATAATAAACATTCTCAGTTTAAATAATATCTATATGTTTATGGTGAGTGAATACAGTGACTGAAGAATATTTGTATAGAAAAAGAACAACAACAACAACAGAAAGTTCTTGTAAAACTAAATCCATTGGCACAATTCAACATTAAAATTTTAAAAAAATTGCAAATATATAAACTGCACAGTAAATCATTTTTGCTTTCCTCATTGCACAAAATAAATATCATTAAAAGTTATTCAATATTATTATAGTAGAAGATATTTTCATAAAACTTACAAAGATATTAAATGAAATTTTAAAATATATTTTGTTTAACTACCAAATAAAATTTATTCAATAAATGTAAATAATTTTTAATATTAAATATTTAAAATAAATTCCATTATTATAGGTGGCTACTTTTTTAGAATTCTAAAATAATTGCACATTCTTAGTATAAAGAATTTAATTAAAAAATAATAATTAATTTTAGCTTGGGTATTTTTGACATTTTATTTAATTAGATATTTATAAATTTGTGTTTATTTTTTCCTTTCAAATATCATAAGATTTATAGTAAGAATTATTCGGAAATGCAATTGCAGATATTGTAAAATGGAAGTATTTTGGATGACACTGTTATTAAAATTGAGAAAAAGTATTATCATCTTTTTTTCAAACATGAATTTAAAAATTTGCAATTTAACACTAAATTTTAACTAACATTAAACTGGGGATTACATATATTTATATATATGCATGTGTGTATAATATATATTTAGAGAATAACAAAACTTTTGAACTTACCAACTATAAAAAGTAACAATGAGGTGAGCAGCAAACATTTTATCATTTTGTGCAATGTTCACAAATGTGCCACAATAGGATTCAAAGAATTTTCATTAAAGTTGCATGCTTGATTCATTTTGAAATTGATCTGTTACAGAAGTATATCAATATAAACTGTTAAATAATAATAATAATAATAATAAAAAATATTTGTAGAAAACATAATTTGTATTATTAAAAATGTAAATGATAAAGATAAAAATTTGGATATTCTATAATTTAATCCATCACTCAACGTTTTAACGAAGAAATAAATATAACACTGAATTATTTTTTTGTTATATTTAAATCTTCCATAATGAATCGATAAAACTGAATTTTGCTCAATTTATAACAAATTTTCATTTTCTGATCTTCGTAACAATTAAAAAATCAAAAATTTTCGTTCCTGCGTCAGAAAACTGGACAATTTTAGACTAGAAATTTTCAGTTTGCTTGCTTAATTACATTATAGCATTGTGAAATTGTTCTGAATGTTTGAAACTTTGTATCCATCATGTTGTTTAATTTCAAATTGAATGGAGGTTGAATGTTATGAATACAATAAACAATCTTTTATTCTGCATCTTTCACTCTGATTTTCTTTAAGTGTTTTTGATGTTACAACGATGCAGTATTGTTTCAATAATTTTCTTATTCTTAATGCATTTTGTAATTGCATTAAGAAAATTTTCTTGTTTTCACATTTTGTTTGGATGTAACATTCATTTTATTTAAGTCTATGATTGTTTATCATAAAATTTTTAACTTTTCTGGTGAAAGTTTTTTAAATTTTCACAACAGAATAACAGTATATTTCATAACTAATTAATGTTATTTTGAGAACCACAGAAATCACTGAAATATAGGTTTTTTTTCTTTTTTTTGTTACTGTTTTACAAATATAATGAAATATTCTGTGATGTGCTATATTTACAATTTCTACCATAATTTGCTGCTGGGCACAAATCTGAATTAAGTTTCTAAACTGATATGTCAGCTCTATTATTAAACACATTTGTGCAATATTAGTATCTATACTTTTTCTATGAATACTCCCGATATTAACTGGCATTACATGCCATGTCAATAGGTAAATGATCATAAACTATTTGACTGGCAAAATAAATGTGATCGTACATGAAGTCCACGCTTTATACTATATGATAAATGACATGTCCACACTAGTTTATAACACTATGCTAATGTTAGCTTGACTAGATGTTTTGTGTCAGAAAAAAATGTTACCTAGTCAATGGTAACTATTTAGCACTATGTTTCTTATATTATAATGTCAGTTTGTTGGCAGTAACAATTTATCCGAGCATGGACCACTGTTGTGAAGTGCTGCAAGATTTAATCGTTTGCATTTAGCACGACGATTTTTGAACCAAAACTGTATATTTTTTGGTTCTAATTTTGGGAATTTCTGACGATATGGCATACCATTGAGCTCCTGTGTATAACGAACAATTTGACTATGGGCAGGATGAGTGTTTATAGAAAACCATTGTTCCAGCCTGGGCACTTCTGTCACTGGATCAATAAATGTACGGTTTCTTTTTCGTCTTTCTTCTAAATTACCAACAGTTCCGGATCCAAAAGCAGAAAATTCTTCTCTTCTCTGTGACAATGGAGAATTGCTTTCGAGGAGTCCATTCTGATGAGCTCTTGCAGATTCTGCAATTTCATGTTCAGAATGTGAAACAATAGGTAAGTCTTGTTCATCTTTTTCCATGGGAACATCATCCATGATGTCAATATCTTCTTCACCACTTTCACTTGAATCCATTGAATGCTCACTGCTTGAATCCTTAGGTTCTTCCTTCACTTTTAATTCCTGTGGACTATTTTGTAGTGGCGAACAATTGCCATTTGAACATCTATCTGAAGGTGGCCGGCGAACTGAGAGATCTAATGTGTGAGCATTGTCAGAATCATCAGAACTGTTTGGCTGCGATTCTGAATGGCTATCGACACCACTATATCTTCCACTATCAATTTCTCTACGTCTTTCTTCAGAACTTCCTGGTCTACTGATTAGAACTCCTTCTTCGGTTGTACTGTGATCCATAGTTCCTGTACTATAACTCTCTGTAACAATTTCCAAGCAGGGACTTCGAAGTCCATTGCTTTCAGCACAGCCTTTTTGTTCTGCTCTCTTGTGAGCAGCCCGAGCATTTTTAAACCAATATACTACATTATTCACATCCAACGGCTTTCTACCCCTTCTTGATTCTAGAGAATTAAGTTCTTTCACATATTGTTGTATTTGAAGACGAGAAGGATGCTGATTTTCAGCAAACCAACGGTGCAGTTTTGGAAGCTCCAATTCAGGATCAAAAGAAGTCCGAATTCTTGTTCGACCCTGAGATTGTGGATTTGAACGTTCCTGTTGCTGTCCCGGACTAGTTGTTATTTGACCTTGATCCAATGATAACTGCTGTTGCTGAAGATGATGGTGTTGTTGCTGTAATAGGGCCACTTGACGACAGTGTTGAAAAATTTGTTGTAGATACCATTGGTCAAATTTTTTACGTGTTTCATCTGGTATGTCACATTCTAATCTACCTTTTGAAAGAGCAGAAAGGATCGACTGAAAAAGAAATAAAAATAATTTGAAATGATTTTAATTTAACATAACAAATATAATATAATATAATTAAATCCTATTAATAAATTATTATATTAAAATAACTCTTAATAAAATATTTTAAAATGCTAACTAGTATCTGACAATTCTTTTTCATGATTTTAGAGTAAAAGTTTTTTCTTTTCCATTCTCTCTACCCTGCAAGCACTAAAATGTTCTTTTTGTATGAATTTGGTTAGGCTCTCAATGAGGACAAGTCTAGCATATTTGGTCAAATCACTCTAAATTTTTGAATGATTCTATCTGGACTAGAATCTGAATCCCTCAGAATGGCAAGCTGATATTTGTATTTCGGCCAGTTGGTTGAAATATAAATGCCAGCTTTTACACTGCCAAAAAAAATTGTATTCTTTTTCAATTTATTTAAATATTTAATATATTTTAATTAGTAAATGCATTTTGATATTAACAAGAATGAAATCTCTAAATCTTCATGCTTATAATAGTATCAGATTTTAATAAATATATTCAATAGATATTGATGTAATGTCACTTCACAAATTTTAAATGAATATTACAATTTATATTACTACACTGAAAATTTAAAAAATTTTATTCTAAGTCAATGACGATGATTGAAAAAAAATGGAATAGTTCAATTTTCATTTTTTTATAAGATATGTTAATAAAGTTTGCATTAAATATTTATTTAATCTGAAAACACATCAATGTCTCTTAATCACATTTGTCTAATGTCTCAGTTATGTCTAAAGTCCACTTTTATTAATTATTTATTTTTCATTCTTTTATTCTCTTTTTGATCAATGCATGTCTTGTAATCAATTTATTTCACAAACTGTTGTACAATGGCAATAAATGTGTTTTGGGCTCTTATTTATTACCTCAGCAGTGGTTTACAAGTGGCTTACAAGTGTATAGAGGTTTTAATGATTGTTTTAGTATAAAGAATTTATCCATTAAAAAATATATATGTTTTATCTGTAAAATTTCTTGTATTTATGTATAGATTTATGAATGGTTTTATTCAGCAAAGATATTGAATACATGAGTGGATTAAGTCCTAAACATATTTATGGCCGTTATTAAACACTTGTTCTAAAAGAAAATTCAAGGAATTAAGAGGCCCAGCATAGTTTCAGCTTAGTAAATATTTATGATTTATTGCTATATATAAAATTATCAAAAACATATAAAATAAAAGTATTATTGTTTCAAATAAAACAACAAACAATATAACTAATAAACTATTTGCTTAATGAAACTTGATATCAAGTTTCATTAAGCATCTCAATTTCTTTCCAATACTGGGATATATTATTTAAACACAGAAAAAATATTTGTAAAAGTGTTAATTTGAGGTATGCTGTTTAAGTGTTTTGTCTGTTTAAAGAAACTTGAACGGTTTAGTATATTTCTATAAATTTCATCAAAGCATAAAATATACAACAATGATTTATCTTAATAAACTATGCTGCATATCTCAATTACTATTGAAATGGAATTTTTTACTATTTAGAAATGATAAAAAGTATTATTTCTAAATAGTAAACTTTATAGTTGTAAACAAAGTCAGCTAGGAAAAATACGTTTAAACTGTCATTTTACAGTCTTAATAGCTTCTTTGAACTAATTCCTTAGAAGTTAAATGTATGAATATAGCTATTTTTAGTTTACAGATTTGAAAATATTTTGTGTTTAGAAAAATCACAGTGTAACATCTATTAACATTTTTAATTTATATACATTAATGTATTTCTAAAATAAGTTCTATAGTTCTATACTTTAATGGTTTTACAAAACACGAAGCTGAGTTTTCAGTTAAAATTAACATGCATATTTGAGATAATCAGTGACTGGTAAAACCCTATGGAAATATTCTGATGTAGAACTGCTTATGTAAATTAGGATAACTTTAAAAACAGTGTTTTCTTTTAATTTGTGATTTAGCAACACAGTTGCTATAGCTAAACATTTTTGTTTCAAATGTTTTCAAAGTACCATTTGGAGTGGCAATTAGAGATAAAGAGCAATTGGTAGCAGGGAAGCTGATCAAAGTCAAGCAGAGTTGTCAGAGTTATTAGTGTTTGAATGCATCATTTCAAGGCTATGGCAACATTGATTAGGTGGATCTGAAGATTAACTATTGTACAACTGAAGATGACTTGTATGTTGTCCTAAATACAAAGGATAACATGTAAACAAAATAGCTAACCAACTCTCCTTGAAGGTTGCTTCGACAACAAAATGATCAGTATGCAAGGAAATCTATGCTCCATATCACAAATAATGTTGCCCAAGAAAAACTCAATTAGAATGGTGGAGGTAATATTACATTTCCTTATTTCTTAGGAGTTCAAATATACTCTTCACAGATGAGTTAAAATTTTATCTGACAAATAATTCTCAGTGTCAACACATATAGAGTAAAGTTGTCACTTGAAATCATCTCCTCAAGATAAAGGATGTTTTGGAGTGGAGGGTCAATAGTGATTGATTTTCATACTTCACTACTAAGGCTTACTCACGTTTGTTTAATTCCAGGATTAAATAAAAGTAGTCTATTATGGAGGGATGGAAAAACATTTTACACACAGGTGTTTCATTTTTTCATAATTCTCTTACTGTATTCCACAAACAGTTATTTTATATTCTGCACAGGCATGAAAGCATCATATTGTTCATTAAACACAACAGTGTCATAATTTGCAAAAGTTTTGATTTTTCAGATGGATCATTTATTTAGAGTTTTGATTCATCCCAGTGAAAAAATTTTGAAATACTGCTGTCTAATGGCATTTTATTCAGTCTCTTAATATGATATTCTCACAGTTAAAAGTAAATGCAAAGTTCATTCTACTGGTATGAATAGCTCAAAAATGATCATCTTTGCATTATGACATTATTGCATTTATTGAGCAAAAGGCAGTTATGGAAGTGGTATAAAATTTACATAAAATCTTAGTAACCTTGATGAAAATAACTTTTCTCGGTAGGTAAAACTAAAAATAAAGCCTGTATTTATGAAGAAAATATAAATGAAATTTTAATAACTGAAACAGTAAACATAAAAACGTACTAAATTATCTATTAATTTAGGAAATTACCACAATCCGAATGAAACCAAATTCTTGCTATAGGGAATGTTCAACTTCCTTAAACTTATTAATTTCAATTGCTACTGATATAATATGTTCAGATAGTCTTGCATTGTTCAATTAGAAAACTGATGACTATTCTTCAAAGTACAATTACTTTCTGTTTCAACTACCTTGATCATTCATATTTATTTGATGAATTTAAATGACTAGATTATTTATCAGACTGTAGGAGTTAATTTGATATTTAATATCTTTAAAGTCAATTATAAACTTTCTAGTAGCAGATATATGCTAACAAAATTCAAAAATCAATGCATAATTTACTATTATTCTAACTATGCCATTATAATTTATATCATAAAATTCATATTCTTGATAAAATTACTAAGACATAAAAGTTAATGAAATTATTCTCATAATTATCTAATAATCATCAAAATACAAAAAAATAAAATAAAAGATATAAAACTCCAATAAATCAAGAATACAAACATTTTTTACTTTATTATTTCCATTTAAATATTTAAATGAAATATATAGGTGAAATGATAATCTTCTCTACAAAAACTGTATACAAAAGATAAAAGTTTAGACTTTTTATTCTTATATTTAAAATCTTATCTTTACATAGTATTTGAATATAGTACAATGTGGTTAATATAATGGTCCAAATAAATTATTTAACAAAATCAATACTAGCCAAAAGAAACATATTTGTAACTTATCTAAATTATAAATATACAAGTGTTTTGAATTTGTATAAACTAAATTATAAGTTTGCATATTCAATAGCATTCATAACAAAAGTAACAGTTATATTTATAGACTGTGCTAAGGTAGCACAAAATCCAAGTGCAGAGCTGCATACCTTCACAACTTGGAGAGAACGTCATATCATTTAATAAATTGTTATACTTTAAAATTTACTATATATTAATATACAATAGAAATAAATCAAATTTTAAAAGCTTAAAGTTCAAGAAAGCATTCAAATGCATATTTTCCATAATAAATTATTTAAAATTATGAAAGCATCCATTGCATTAAAAAATGTTAAAATCAACACTGAAAATAATAATATGAATGTGTAAGTTTTATAAAATTTAAAACAAAATATTATATTTTCTGAAATATCAAAGTTGATATAATCCAAAAACAATTCAAAAAGAAAGAAATAATTTTGATTGCATTAAATAATGAATATCACTATAGTGAATCTCATTTCTATCTCTTAAGATTACAATAGAAAGATAGTTTCTATATAGGAATAAATTCTAAAGTCAGAACCTTTGATGGCAATTTATTGGTAAGTCAACTATTGATTGATTGACTGATTAATAAATGTGAGACATAAGTACATTGTAAACTATATAAATGATGTAATTGGGGCTAACTAAAGATAAACCTAACTCACACAATGATGTTGACCAGTGTGAATAGGGAAAGGATGTTTCAATCTATTGCCTCAACTTGCTAAATTACAACTCTGAACACAGATTCACCACATCAGCTTACTGTGCATATATATCATATATATCGTTTCTTAATTACAGATTGACTAATATGTAAACATTTACAGTTGTAGCTTTATTTTAAAATACATATTAAACTATTATAAATTAATATTCCAGTGCATTACATTACTAAACTAAAAAACAAATATGTATATATATATATATTTAAATAAGAAAATAATGCATTTTTTAAAATTGCTATATCTTCTTCTTATGTTATAAATATAAAATGATCAGAATAAAAAATTACCTGGTCATGTCATATTTAACACAATAATTTTTTATATTATGCTATTACATGCAAATTGTCCTAAACTTACAAATACTGTACTATTTCTAATTTCTATAAAAATTTCTAGTCTGAAAGTGCACTCCTTGAAAT